TCACCTGAGAACTCCAGGCTGGAGACCCCTCACCTGAGAACTCCAGGCTGGAAACCCCTCACCTGAGGACGCCAGGCTAGGCCCTCCCTGAAATGCCTGGGGCAGCACTGGCCAGGTGGGACTGAGAGTCAGGGGTGGTTGCTTCCTGCTCCAGCTCTTACCCCGGTTACTCTGGAGGGCTGGGGCTGGGGTGTTGAGTTCTCGAAGCACAGCCTGGACGCTCCTCTGGAAGTCCAGCTCCACATCTGAAAGTGGGGGAACCTTGAGGTCAGGAGCTGTTGCGTTCACCCCATTTGTCCTTCCTGCTGCCCCCGCCCCCATCCTCAAGAGAAAATTCTTAGCCCTCCTATAAACTCTAAGAGGTGCCTGTGGTAATCCATCAACGAGATGGCAGCCAGCACACTGCTCTGAGCTGGAAGATAGTATTTCTATTTAGTATTTCCGTGTTCTTTGTAAAACCATCCTTTGGAAAAGTGTGGATGTATGGCAGTCCAGTCCCCTCTTACCCGAGACCTCACTTTTTGTGGTTTCAATTACCCACCATCAACTATGGTCTTAACATATTAAATGGAAATTCTAGACATAAATAACTGATGAGTTTTAAATGGTTTGTTACTTGGAGGAACAGGGTAAAAATCTCATGCCAGCCTCTTCCATTAGTCATTAGTAGTCATAATGACTACCAGCTAAACTATCTCAATACAGCAGTGTTTGTGTTCTAATAGCTTTTTAAAAATTGGTGTATAAGCTGAGTGGTGGTGGTACAAACCTTTAATCCTAATATTCGGGAGACAGAGGCAGGTGGATATCTCTGAGTTCGAGGCCAGCCTGGTCTACAGAGCTAGTCCCAGGACAGCCAAGGCTACACAGAGAAACCCTGTCTCAACTGCCTCCCCCCAACATAATTTTTGGTGTGTGTGTGTGCATATGCATATGTATGTATGTGTATTCAGGTATGTGCATCCATACAATGTGTATGGAGGCCAGATGAGGATGCCGAGTGTCTTGCTTTATCATTCCTACCTTATCCCTGTGACTTACCCAGGATTCCCCTGAAGTGTTGTTGGAGATAGAGACCCAACAAATGACCACATCCAAAATCTAGATTCCCTTCAAATGATGACCTGCAAGTCTCCAAGCCCATATTCTCTCATGTTCCCCTATACTAGTCAGATAAGACAGGTGAAGAATTAAAATTAAAATACTTTCCTCAATTTGTAACTTTATTTTATGGCTGTGGGTATGTATACAGGTATATATGTGTGTATGTGTGCTGTGCGTGTGTAGGCACATGTATGCACTGGTGTGTTGTGGAATATTATTTTAATTAGGCAAAGATGTGTTACATTTGTTTATGCTGTGGAATATTACTTTTGATTATGCTGCATTTGTTTAGTTATGTAAAGATGTGTTGCGTTTGTTTCGGTTGGCCTGCCTAAGGCACCTGATTGGTCTAATAAAGAGCTGAACGGCCAATAGCCAGGCAGGAGAAAGGATAGGCAGGGCTGCAGGCAGAGAGAATAAATAGGAGGAGCACTCTAGGCTCTGGAGAAAGGAAAAACAAGAGAAGGGGGAGAGAACGAGGAGACACCCAGGGCAAGAAGCTGGGCGGCCACCAGCCAGCCAGACACAGAGACAGCAGGAAAGTAAGATATAAAGAAAGTAAGAAAAGGTAAAAAGCTCGGAGGCAAAAACATAGATGAAGAGAAACAGGTTAAGTTATAAGAGCTAGCAAGAAAAGAGCTAAGCTAAGACCCTGCATTCAAAACTAATAATTCTCTGTGTCATGATTTGGAAGCTGGTTGGTGGCCCAAAAGAAAAAGCCTGGTACAATGGTAGGCATGTGGAGGTCAGAGGATCACCTCCAGGAGTCTATTCTGAGCTGTCATGGGTTTTGGAGATCAAGCTAGGGTCACCAGGCTTTCAAGCTCTTCTGTCTACTGAGCCACTGTGACAGACTTTTGTTTGTTTATTTGTTTTAGAGACAGGGTTTCTCTGTGAAACAGACCTGGCTAACTTGGAACTTCTTTGTAGGCCAAGCTCGCCTCGAACTCTCAGATATCTACCCACCTCTGCCTCTCCAGTGCTGGGATTAAAGGGGTGCACCGCCACACCTGGCTCAGGTCGAGACTTTGATCCCTAGACAGGTAGGGTCTACATCCTTGTTCAGCAGAAGACAGATTTTTAGGGGGAGGGCATATATGATCCTTAAGTAACCCTTACAATTGAGAGAGAAAAATGAGGCAGAATAGAGAGAGAGAAAATGATGGGGAAGTGATCGAGGGAGGAGCCCTCACCCTGAAGTCTGCTCGGAGCTGAGAAGCAAGAATTCCATCAAGCGTATATGCTGAAAGGCTGTCCCCACAGACCGCCATTCCTCTCCTCTACAGACACTTCCGGTTAAACCAGCAATGACCCAGGCTCACGACCTGAGTGTGTTTGGTCTTCTGTGAGCCTTGCTCCCTTCCCCAGGCGGAGTCTGAGAACCTCAAACAAGACTATTAACTTTGTCCACAGGTGACGATCGCTCATCCCTGCGATCTTATTGATTGTAACCCCTCAGGAGCTCCTCAGGACCCCACCCGACCCATGGGCACATTTAAGTTCCTTAGTCACCATTTAAGGACAATAGCTTCAAAGCCACCCACATCCTATAGTCGTCAGTTGTCAAGACCGTCGAGTGGGACCGTTTGGGACCTCACACCCATGCTCTTGGGGGTGTCTTGTCTTTCTTTCTGAGCACCTCTTTCTTGTAAATCTCTATAAAATATCTTTAATAAGTCCTAACTCTGCTTTTTTAAAAAAGCATCATGTAAATACTGTCCCTGGCAGTGACAGGAACATTGTGGGTTTGCACTGTCCCAGGTGGCGTTAGTGACACTGTGCTACACTCCTCTGAGCCCTTCTTTTCTGGCCTCAGCCGTGGCCTCTGTCCTGACTCTGGCTTGTCCATCCCACTTTCATCAAGAAACCCGGTAAATCAGAGGGAATCCCTGGCCTTCTGACCCGCCCCTGGCAAGAACCCCGCTGGTCAGGAAGTTCCCAGCTGCTGAGTCCCGGCTCGGATGTCCTTCTGGATTCTGAGTTGAGCCTGCTTCCACCCCACTGCCAGACTTGAGTAAAGGCTTCCTTGCCATTTGTTTGTTTGTTTTGTTTTTCGAGACAGGGTTTCTCCATGTAGGTTTGGTGCCTGTCCTGGATCTCGCTCTGTAGACCGGGTTGGCCTCGAACTCACAGAGATCCGCCTGTCTCTGCATCCCAAGTGCTGGGATTAAAGGTGTGCGTCACCGCCATCCGGCTCTTCCTTGCCATTTTGACGAGTGTCAGTGTAAACTTTTTTTTTCCTTAATAAGAATATATTTAAGGCAGAAGAATGAAGATGGAGAATACACAAATGACTTAGCAAAGGAGGAAGCCTGGAGACCGCGTTTCACTGGCCCTCGCTGCCGGCACTTGAAGGGATGCTGCCCAGGTGACTGTGCTTCCAAACCTGCCAAGCTCTGTGCACACTGGCCAGTGCGGAGCACAGCTGTGCTTCTCAGTTGTTCCCAAGAGAGACTTTTTTTTTTTGTTTGTTTGTTTTTTTCGAGACAGGGTTTCTCTTGTGTAGCTTTGCGCCTTTCCTGGAACTCACTTGGTAGCCCAGGCTGGCCTCGAACTCACAGAGATCCGCCTGCCTCTGCCTCCCGAGTGCTGGGATTGAAGGCGTGCGCCACCACTGCCCGGCGAGAGACTTCTTTGATGGCTAATTTTGGCTCCAGATTCCGCCACCACTACTACACTGTGGAACTGTTCTCTGGATTCCTCTCAACCTAACACACACACACACACACACACACACACACCTTCCCCCAGCAAGCCAGCTCTCACAGTCAGACTCTCTGTCGACTCTCAGCTCCACAGGTGTTTCCTTGAGCAAATCCTTACACATCTTGGTGTTTGCTTCTTGGAGGAGCCAGACAAGGATGGGAAGGATGGGAAACACTCTCCACAAGGACAGATTTCCCTTGCAGTAACCTTCAAGCAAGGGTGTTTTTATACACAAGGAGTTTGTCTTCTCTAGTCAGACATCACAAACCACATACCTCAGGGCTTCCCTTTTTGACTTGGCTGCCAAGAAACTCCCAGCTGAATTAGAGTCCAGTCCCATACATCAGCTCATGTCAAGGGGCAGGGGCCTCTCTTCTTGCTTCCTCTCTGCTGCCTCGGCTTTGTGTTTTGTTATACCTTAATTGTCTCGGGGTCCTTTAGAAGGATGGGGCTACATATGTAAACATCAGCAGATGGTAGCTCAAACTGAACCATTGAGGCCGAACTATCCTCTGCCCTGCTGGTCATCAGGCAGCCCCCCCACCCCCCGAGGCTCTGAGGTGGACACATGTGAAGTCCAGAGGATAATTACCATCTCTGAAGCCCCCACTTTCCCCCCAGTTCTCACTTGTTCCTGCGAGACAGTGGCCACAGCCAAGGCCTACTTCCCAGCATCCCCCAGCCTGAAGGTAAAGCCAAGTCTACCCATCTGGAGACCCCTCTCAGCAAGGCCACGTCCCTCAAAATTTGCCAGGGAGTCACTTGGCCTGGCATGAAGATTGCTCCAACCTGACCTCCCAACTAACCATCTCCGCCTTTCCTGGAGATTTAATGAAGTAACGCTGGGTGATTTATTCGTAAATTAATTGGTATTTTGTCTCTCTTCCTCCCTTCCTCTCCCTCCTTTATGCCTTTTATCTTTGTTTCTCTTCCTGTTCTTCCTTCCTCCTTTCCTCCCTCCTTCCACTGTCCTTCTTTCCATGGCTCCCTCCTGATTTCCCTCCCTTGAGCTTTTCTTCTTTCTTTTTATTCCCTTCTCTTTCCCTCACTCCTTTCTTCCCTTCTTTCCTTCCCCATCATCCTCTTGATGTGAGCTACATGAAGATTTAAACCAGTGACAGTTCTGATCTGTCTCCCTCTCTCTGTCTGTCTCTCTGTCTCTCTGTCTCTCTGTCTCTCTGTCTCTCTGTCTCTCTCTCTCTCTCTCTCTCTTGTATTTCAGAGAAAACTAGGGAAGCAGCCAGTAGGCCCTGGCGACCATCTCAAACAAATACCATTTTGGAAAGCCTTCAAAGCTTGAACAGCCTCAGTCTTTGGCCCACAGCTGGCTTGCTCACATGGTCTGTTCAGGCTTGTGTAGTATTTTCTGAAATAGTTGCTGATGTTGACGAACGAACGAACCAGGAAGTTTGTATAAAAGTTTGTGTTCCTGGCATCTCTTGCAAGTATGAAAGTCTGTTGACCCTGGAAGTGAGTCTTTCTGACACGGGATGATGGGCAGGGGCTGGGAAGCAGCTGACCCAGGGCATGGCACAGCTTCTCTGCTTTCCCCAGCCCGTCTCTTCTGCCTTCACTGCTTTCCCTTCTCTGACTGACCCCGAAGACCCCAGTTATCTAACTGAGCTGACCCGGGTTGTCCAGAGAGAGAGAGAGAGAGAGAGAGAGAGAGAGAGAGAGAGAGAGAGAGAGAGAGAGAAGATGGTGTTCTCAGTTCAGAGAGGCTAGACTCCTCAAGACCAGGAGAGAAAAAGGGTTTTGGGGTCACAGGGAAAAGGGCACCTGAGCACAAAGTGCTGTATCTTTGGATGCCATACATAAACCTCCTGAATCAGCTTTGGCCAGAGCACAGGAATGGCCCCCCAAAGTAGCCTCCATCTCTCTTAAGGCCACCCAAGCCTGGTCAGCTGGTTCTGGAGGCCCCAGCCAAATAGACAGAAGATCGCAGCCTCCTCTCAGGCCTTGTAAACCCAGCTCCAAGGAGGAAGAGCACGCCCTAAGGGATGACATTAGAATTCGTACTGATCTTGGTATTGCTGGGTATTACAATTAGGCTTTATTAACACTTCGAGACAATGCTAAATGTTCATCAAATCAAGATAGACAGGAAGACTACATTTCCCAGACTCCCTTGCTGTTGGAGAGCTGTGCAACAAATTCGGACCAATGTAATGTGATAGAAGTGAAGCCTGTCATTTGCAGGGATGATGGTAGAATTTCCTGCATTGTACCCAGACTGTTCCCACTCAGCAGTGACCTTAAAGGATGCGTGTTGGAGATGATGGTTCCACAAGATTGAATCCTCAAACCTCAGAAGACTGCTTAGAGCCTAGATCGGACTGTGATTAAGTGTGAAATGAGTATTGCTGTGCTATTCTGATATTTGGGGTCATTTGTTACAGCAGCGAACATTCCTTGACTGACTCATAGATACACGAAGTATTTCCCAATGTGTAATTCATGTGATTCTGAACAAGAGTCCTGTGATGTTGGCAGGTCAAATGTTATTCTGTTTTACAGATTATAGGTCTTGCCCTGTTTTGCCTCTCTAACTGCCAAATGGGACCCTAAGAAAGCTGGAGAGATGGCTAAGTGATTGAAATTAAGCGCTCTGCTGACTGTTCTTTCAGAGTACCCAGGTTCAATTCCCAGTGCCCACGTGGTGCCTCACAACCATCTGTAACTCCAGTTCCTGGAGATACAACATCCTCTTCTGGTCTCTGTGGACACCATACACTCAAGAGGTGCACAGACATACATTCAGGCAAAACATCCACACACATAAAGTAAAAGCTCCTAAAAGTTAAAAAAAATCATCTAACTTAGAGAGGGGGCCCCAGAGCCTCCCTTCCCACTTTATAGGTGGGTGATGAGGTGATGACGCAGGGGAAGAATAGTCATTCAAGGCTACAGAGCTGTTACAAACAGAACTTGCCGGGTCAAATGTTCTCCTTGAAAGCTGCAATCTCTGAACTAAGCCAGACTCAGGAAGACAGACATTACATGTTTTCTCCCATAGGCAGAATCTAGATCTAAATGTGTGTGAGAGAGATGAGGAGGGACATGTAAAAAGGGAATTATGAAAGGGAAGGAAGTGTTCTAACAGGAGTGAGGGGGAGACAAGAGTAGATAACGGAGAACACATGAACACATATGAACACATATGATATGGGAGCAGTAGGAGAAACCTTAAGAACTTGGTAATAAGTCTTAGTAGGTTTTTTTTTTGCTTGTTTTGTTTTTTTGAAACAAGGTTTCTCTGTATAGCCCTGGCTATCCTGCCACTCTCTCTGTAGACCAGGCTGGCCTCAAACTCACAGAGATCCGCCTGCCTCTGCCTCCCGAGTGCTGGGATTAAAGGCGTGCGCCACCGCCGCCCGGCAGCAGTTCTTACTATTCACTGTCCAGCTCAACAATGTGCAAGCAGTTGAGCGAGCTCATAAGTGCGCGTCTGTTCCTCTCTCAAGACGTTCTCACACTCAGGGTGTTGCAGCCCCTGGCTGGGCAGATGGTCCTTCTAGGCCTGGAAACATGCTCACGCACAGCATTGACTTTCCTCACTGAGCGCCCAGGCCTTCTGGACATGCCCTCCCCCACCCCCACACACTGACCTGAGCTCTCCATGGAGCCTGTGCCCCGGTGGGGAGGATGTGGTTTCTCAGACAGCGAAGTGGAAAGTGGAATGGTGGTTTCTACGCAGAGATTGTTCTGCAAAATAAGAGGCAGCTTGTTAGTGTGATGGGTGGGAACGTGCAGAAAGTGTATCCAGGGTACATGCCTGCCAGCTGCAGCTCTCAACTCCAGGGAGTAAACGTGGGGTGGCTTCGGGAGCTTTCTAAACAGCAAGCGGGAGCAGGAAGAGGGCAGAAGGAAGCCAGAGCTCAAGGAAGAAGCATCAGACAACAAGGTTTCTGTTTTCTCCATGCTTCTATAACCAGCCTGGCACGACACCAGCCCAGCAGCCAGAAGTGCACATTGAGGACTCTTGGAAAGAGGTTAAAAGTTGGGGGTGGGGACATCTGAGAGATGACTCAGGAGTTAAAACATCCACTGCTCCTTCACAGAGTTCAGTTCCTAGCATCCTTACTGGACTGCTCACACCCACCTGTAAAAAGTCAGACTCCAGGGGATCTAATACCCTCTTCTGGCCTCGGTGGGCACCTGCCCTCACAGGCATGCACACAACCACACACATACACACAATTAAAAACAAGACCTTTAAGAGGAGAAAGAGCCCTCTGTTGCTTGTCTGGGCGGCAGAAAGGAGCTCTTTAAACCCGAGAGATGGAGCACCCCCTTTCTCTCTTCCATTTTCTGCTGTGTGTGGGGGGATCCTGCAACAGTGTAGCACAATGGTGACGGAGGTCGTGGCTACGCAGGTGCAAGAGTCAGAGGAGCAGAAGTGCTCCTCTGGAACTACAGGCTCTTTCCTCCGGAGGGCTGGAGAGGAATCCCTGCTACCTTTGCTCTCTGTCAGATGAGCAACAACAAATAACAGGACCAATAATAATACAATGGCAGACCTCCAGATACAACAGGTAACTACATTAAATGTAAATGGTCAAAACCCACCAAGAAAAGATTGTCAGGATGGATATCATGAAGGGGTTGCTTGTTTGTTCTGAAATAGGGTTTCACTATGTAGCTCTGGCTAGCCTCAAACTAGTTATGAATTCCAGGCTGATCTCAAACTTGCAGCAATCCTCCTGCCTCTGCCTCCAAAATGCAGTGATTGGAAGAGTGCACCACCATGCCCAGCTTGGGTAATATAAAGGTAAGTGGAGTTAATTCTATTCAGTCTACAATAAATTTGCTTCAGATACATTGGTTTAAATATGCTAGAAGCAGCCAGGCAGTGGTGGCACACACCTTTAATCCCAGTACTCGGGAGGCAGAGGCAGGAGGATCTCAGTGAGTTCCAGGCCAGTCTGGTAAACAAAGCAAGTTCCAGGACAGTCAGGGCCACACACAGAGAAACCCTGTCTCGAAAAACAAACAAATGGAACAAAATCTAGAAGCAAACAAAGCAAGATATATCATGAGGACACTGAGAAAAAGTGAAGGAGTCTAAGAGACCACATGAATACAAGACAAAGTACATACCAGAGGGGTAAAGTTATCAGGAGTAAAGGGGACATCACAAAATGATAGAGACTCAATTCACAAGGAAGATATATATATAAAATATATAAAATTGTGTGTGTGTGTGTGTGTGTGTGTGTGTGTGTGTGTGTGTCCATTGTGCACCTTTGGAACTTCAAATTCTATGAAGGAATACCTAATAAAATGAAAGTGTCAGTGGGAAAAGCCATAATTACAGTTGGACATTTCTTCATGGCTCTCTCAGTAACTGACAGGTCAAGGAGAAGACTCAACAAGAATATAGAGAAATTGGCTCAGTGGTTAAAAACACTGACTGCTCTTGTGGAGGACCTAGGTTCAATTCCCAACTCTCACATATCAACTCACAATGTCTGTAACTCCAGTTCTAGGGGATCTGACAGCTTCTTCTAACCTCGGTGGGCACAAGGCACGCATGTGGTATACATGTGTATATGCAGGCAAAACACTTATACACATAAAATAAAATGAAGAAGTCTTAAAAATAAGATAAAATTAAAATGTATCTTTTCAAAAAAGAATATAGGGACATCAAATAATATTAGATAACACTACCAATCAACTGAATTTAATCAACATTTACAGAACCCTATATACAACAATCATTGTATGAAAATTATTTTCTAATGTATATAATGTGTCCAGCAGAACAGGTCATGATCAGGTTGCACAACAAATCTTAACAAATTTAAAATAATTGAAACCATACAAAGTAAGATCACAGACCCTGATAAAAGTAAATTTGAAATAAAAAAGATAAATGTAATTTTTAAAAAGTCTTCAAATAGCTGGATGTTGGTGGTCCACACTTTTAATCTCAGCACTCGGGAGGCAGAGGTCTTCAAATATATGGAGCAATATATACTTCTTTTAAAATGTTTTAAAAACATTTAATTTTAGTGTATGTGTGGAGGGAGTGTCAGGGCTGTGCACCTGAGTGCGATGCCCACGGAATCCAGAAGAGAGTATCAGATCCCTTGGAGCTGGAGTTACAGGTGGTTGTGACCAGTGTGGGTGCTGGGAATCAAGCTCAGGTTCTCTGCAAGAACATAAGTAGCTGCTGAGACGTCTCCCCAACTCACCAGCACGTTTCTAAATCATGCAGGAACCCAGAAAACAGGGCTCAGGGGAAATTTCCCAACTCATTTTATAAGTCTCTTACTATCCTAACACCAAAACCAGGCAAAGATAGTATCAAAAAACAAAACAAAACAAAACAAAAACCCAAAAAACAAAAACGGGCAGCTGTGACGAACACCTTTAATCCCAGCACTTGGGAGGCAGAGGCAGGTGGATCTCTGTGAGTTCAAGGCCAGCCTGGTCAACAGAGAAAGATCCAGGATAGGAACCAAAACTACACAGAGAAACTCTGTCTTGAAAAACCAAAAGTAATTAATTAATTAATTAATTAATTAATTTAAAAATTTTTAAAAAGAAAGTGTAGCAGAAACCTTAGATGGTCTTATTAATAAAATCAAACCTGAGGCCAGTTATTGGGGTGAATGCTGGTAGATCAGATGCAGAACAAGCCACAGCTAACTTCACCTGGCCAACTTCTCAGCTGGTCTTGTTTCCTCAGATTGGAGGCCTCTGTGTCCTCATATCTGAATGGCTCTCAGCTGAACTGTGCTGCTCAAAACCCAAAAGCTTAACCAGCCAAATGCTTAACCAGCCAAATGCTTCTTGTTTCTGGTCTTCATGCCTTATATATCTTTCCTTTCTACCATCACTCCCTGGGATTAAAGGCTCATTTTCTTGGCTGTATCCTTGAACACATGGATTTCTGCCTCTGGAATGCTAGGATTAAAGGTGTGTGCTACCACTGCCTATCCTCATGTTTAATATTGTGGCTGTTCTGTCTCTGACCCCAGATAGGTTTATTAGAGTTCACAATATTTGGGGGAACACAATACCACCACAAGAAAGAAAGAAAGAAAAAGAAAAGAAACTATATATCTTATGCACATATATGGAAAACCCCTCAAACAAGTATTAGCAATATATAGGTAACATATAGACACAATAGCTTGACGGATTTACCCCAGGCATGAAATACTAGTCCAATATTTGAAAACCAGTCAATGTAATCTACTATGGTAAAGACTAAAAGAGAAAAAAGAAGTCACATGATCCTATCAGTGGAGGCGGTAAGAGCAGTTGATAATTTCAGTTGCCGTGCATGACATTAGGAGCAGGGGGACTATTAATCTGATAAAGGACATCCGTCGGCAACACCACAGCACGGAAGCGAGGGTGTCCGTCTGCTGCCACCAGTGCTAATCAACTTGACATTAGAAGTCCTTGCCAGTGCCATACGGAGGAAAACAGGCACTTATACCCGATTGCTGCATTGTCAAGGGGTCTGCTGAGCGAGAGCCAGTCCAAGTGTCCATACTGGAAGAAGGAAATAAAACTGCAGATAATAATAGAACTCTATCTGCAGACATTATACTTATTTAAAATAATTGATATCATACATATCATTACAGGTTTAGAGAACTCTAAAACAATCAAAAGGAATTTACACACACACATACACACACACACACACACACACACACACACACACACACACACACACACACGTGCACTTCCGGAAAGCAGTTCATCTCAACCAGTAAAGGTGCTTGTTGCCAAAACAGATGACCTGAATTTAGTTCCCGAGATGGACATGGTGGAAGGAAAAAATTGATTCCTGCAGGTTGTCCTCTGGTCTCCACAAGCGTGCACCATGCAAACGTGTGCACACCCACACAAACGTTCAAATAAAGGTAATAAAAACTTTAAGAACATCTCTTATAACTAGTGAATAACTTAAGTAGAGGCACAAGAAACAAGGTCAACACAAACCACCAGACATATCTTTACACACTAAGACCAAGTATATGGAACCCTAATTTAAAACATATGATCATTTAAAATAGCATTGAAATAAACAAAGAAAAAAATACCGCACTGTAAATCAAGATGCTGAACCTGTAAGATAAGAATTATAAAATGTGCCGGACAGTGGTGGCACACACCTTTAATCCCAGAACTTAGAGGCTGAGGCAGGTGAATCTCTGTGAGTTCAAGACCAGCCTGGTCTACAGAGCAAATTCCAGGACAGCTAAGGCTACACAGAGAAACCCTGTCTCAGAAAACCTAAATAAATAAATAAATAAATAAATAAATAATTATAATGCTAATAATAAGACCTCTATGTCAATAGAGAGGCACATTAGGTTCACAGTTTGTAGAACTGTTAAGATGTGAGTCCCTCAAGCTGAGTACTAGGCAAGTGAGTCCTAACAAAAATGTCAGCAGGATTTTGTGCAGCTACCTACAAGTAGAAGAGATTTGTAGGGACCGGCAAAAATATTGGGGTGGCCAAATAATTTGGAGAAAAATGTTGTTAGAGAGGGCGCATTATCTAAAGAATGATTACAAAGATTTTAGGGAAAGGCCAGACTTGTAGATCACAGTATTTCAAATTTCCTCAGTTTTTCTTATATTTATGTGTTGCTATCTTCTTTTATGTTTTTATTATTCTTTTTTTTTTTTTTACTTCTTGAGTATAAGTGTGTGTGTGTGTGTGTGTGTGTGTG